TACCAAATAGGAGAACCTGGGGTTTATAACTCCAGTCATGAGCTCTTTCCAGTATACCATGCTACATTGGGTCTCCTTAATCTGTGCTGTTTAGTGTTGCGAAGGTTCTTTTGGCGGAATAGCATGGAAAAGTGTCATTCTCCCCAAGAAACAGAAATGGCAGCAAAATGTGCATAATGTTAGCACTCGGAATGAATTCTCCAAAATCTCATAGACAAACTAAGCAAGATATTCTGAGTCGTTTGTTTGTGCCATATCTGCATAATATAATACCTAGGTATTGTTCCTCCTATTTTGTTTTTGCTTGTTTTACCATTACTGTTGAATTGTGGATTTTTTTCCTCAGCACTTTTAAGATCTTATTTCATGGTCATTTGGTCTTGTTAATTTTGAAAAGTTTGCTGTTATTCTAATTTACTCCTTTGTAGATAGCATGTATTTTCTACCATTTAGCTCTGATGATTGTTTGTCTTTGGTGTTAAATAATCATATTATAATGAATAAAGCTATAAACTTTTTTTAGAGGGATTTGTTTTATTTTTTTGTGCAAATCATTTGGATTATATATTATGGGAGTGCTTTCCAAGAGTGATCCAGGAGCCTCCAGCTCACTGCCATTTTTTATGTTAGTTTCTCAGCTCAGTGGTTTCTAGTCCAACCATTACGCTAAGGGTACAGCCCTTCAAGGATGCTGGTTTTATGTGGAGGTCTCCATTCCAACTCCCTGCCTACTATAGGCTAAAGGCAGTACCTCCTCTTTCCATGTGTGCATTTAAACTCAAGCTATTAGGTTATGGAAACTGACAACCTCCTTTTATTATTTCTGGCCTTGGCTAATTACCCCCACTCTCAATTTTTGCATTTCAGCTCAAGAGTATGTAAAAAATTTTCCTCTTTATCAGTCATTTCAAGTGTCGCCCATTATGTGTTGGAGCCTGAAGTCAATCTGTATTTTGAAAACATTCAAGTCATTGGGTAATTAATTGTTAAGGTAAAATAAGCCCGTTGGGACCAGGACCATGATCTTGGCTCATCTGATATAATATGACAGACTGCACGGATCATAAGGCTAGTGGATGAAATCCATACAGTTCTAGGAGATGGACATAGCAAGGTGGTAATAGGTTGAGTCCAAGGAGCCCTCAGGGTCAGACAATCTCTAAGATCTGGTCAAGAATGGCCCAGTGTCGGGAAGGTCAGAGAAAGCAGCCTTCCTTATTAAAGACTTCCCTGCTCCTGACTGTGTATGGGCAAGCCCTGATTTACTGATAATTCCTGGCAGGTATACCTTGCTTACAATTAAGGCACAGTTCATTGTTGAACTGCTGGAATGTCTCTCATAGTCTATGTGTAGAGTACCATTTTGGGCATTAGTTTCCAAACTTTTCAGGAAAAAGACTTTTAAAATGTGTAAACCTTTGAAAATACCTGGAGAATGTAGCCTCACTCCCCACTCACCACTATGGAAAAGACAAGGCCCCCGTTTGTACTTCCATAATTGGTGGCCAGGCATCTTTTTTGTTGATCTGCAAAGTGCATCAGAACATGTATGAGACTATACTTCTTCCTGGCTTTTGATCTATACAAATGTTTAAATGACAAAACTGTCATTAGCCAGCCTTACATCTGAGTTTTTCCCTAATGCCTACAGAATATTTCTCTCTGGATGTCTTTCCATGAACTCCAGTTAAACATATCCATCCCCCCATTTCCTGCAAAGATGCTCCTCCCAGCTTCCCCTCCATTTTATTATGTTGCTTTTTATTCACCCAGGTCTCTAGGCCCAAATCATCTTACTTTCCAATTCATTGTCCAAGACCTTTTAATCCTTTTCTTTTCTCAGATTTACTACTTCTCAGTTTCCAGTATCATCAGTAGTTGATAACTACTGATACTCTGATATAATTATTAGTGTGCTAGATGAGCGGGGAGTGAGAACTAGAAGATGTGGTCATTGTCTTCATGGAGCTTAATATCTAGTTGAGAAGACAGTTTATATTCACGAAAATAGTGATCAATACTAGGCAGTATATAATTAAATGCTAAGTTGGGAAGTATAGAGTTTTAAATGCTGGAAGTTAGAGGAAAGAAAGGGATAAAATGAAGGCCTGAATTGTAAGAGAAAAGTTAATTGTAGAATTGAGATTTAAACTTGGTCTTGAAACAAAGAAGGTTGGAATTAAATAGGCATTTAAAATAAGGGGAAGGCATGGATAAGCAGTGATTATATTGAGTGTATGATTTTTGGAAAACTTTTGAGGCTCTTTATGTGAAGGACTAGGGGGAAATAAGAATTAGAGAAGTTCATGACAACTTTGAGTTTGACTATAAGACTACCAGAAGAATCTTTCAAAAACAACATTTGAGTTTAGTTGATTGCCCAACTCAGAAATCTCTGGAGGCTTCCTTTTCCTTTTGATTCTGATCCAAACTGCTTTGCTATTCTAGGTGCTCTTTAATCTACACCAGCCGTTCTTCACCAGGACTCATGCATGCCTACAACTTACTTTATTTGTGTTTTGGCTTATGCTTTCCACTTCCTTGTGAAAGGTCTGCCTGATTTCTTTTCCTTCCTTCTTCAAGTCCTGTCTCTAGACTTTCTGCGTCTTGACACTCTAGTGACTCCCACTCACTGACATAGCTTTCCCGCCTGGATTCCTCCTAAGCCTATTTTCTGTTGGAAATATTTAAAAATCTAATCATGTACTGTTTTGTTTTGTTAAACATGTATTTGTTTTCTAATAATTTAGAGTTATGTACATTTCTCTTTCTGTTTGATAAGGTGGTAAATTCTTTGAAGGTTAGATTGTATTTTATATTTTATTATTCTGCTTAGTGCTGTATACTACTCTGGCTATGTAGTCTATGTTGAGTTGGTAGCTTTTAAAGGATTGGTTTTTTTTTTTTAATTTCAAATATTGCTGTTTTGTAATATTAAAGCTGCTTTGTATAAATGTGCCTAATGTCATGCCTGACAGAAGTACAACCCTTAGTGATGGTGAAATTCAAATTCATAGTGGATCCCAAGTCAAAGAACATTTTTCTGCTCTTTCATGGAAAGTGGAAAATAAGAGCAAAAGCACTGAATCCAAGTTTTTTGAGATACTTTCTGCTATATTTGGGTCTTAATCTGTGTCCTTAAGTATATATTATTCATTTACCTTATGTAGTGTTTCCTAAATAATTTGAGTTAGTGTGTGTGCTCAGTCATTCAGTCATGTCCAACTCCTTGTGATCCCATGGACTGTAGGCTGCCAGGCTCCTCTGTTCATGGGATTTACCCAGGTAAGAATACTGGAGTGCATTGCCATTTCCTACTCCAGAGGATATTCCTCACCCAGGGATCCAACCTGCATCTCCTGCATTGGCAGGCAGACTCTTTACCACTGAGCTACCTGGGAAACCCAGTTTATGTTAGTAGATGAAAATAAATTGTGTGTGTTAATTGAAGCTTAAGAGAAAAGACTGTCATGTTTTAAAAAGATTAATCCTTGTTCAATTCTAATTGATGTGTGTTGTCACTCTTCCTGCCTGAGTTTTAAAGTTTTAGTAAAATATCTGTAAGTGAAGAAATCATCTGTTGTAGTTGAAATTGAATTTAAGAAGATATTTGAACATCCATAAACCAGATCTTGAAATGATCTAAGAATACTTGGTTTAAGGAAAGTGGATCAAGCTAGAAATGACATTTATTAGTTTAATTTTTATCATTTAACAGCCTCTTAAAATCTGAAATGACTTTTAAAACAAAATTTTAAGTTACTATTTTAAATAATAAAATAATTCACCTATCAAAAAGCCTCTTGATGAAAGAGGAGAGTGAAAAATTTGGCTTAAAGCTCAACATTCAGAAAACTAAGATCATGCCATCTGGTCCCATCACTTCATGGCAAATAGATGGGAAAACAGTGGAAACAGTGGCTGACTTTATTTTTCTGGGCTCCAAAATCACTGCAGATGGTGATTGCAGCCACGAAATTAAAAGACACTTGCTCCTTGGAAGGAAAGTTATGACCAACCTAGATAGCATATTAAAAAGCAGAGATATTACTTTGCCAACAAAGTTCTGTCTNGGTTTTTCCAGGAGTCATGTATGGATGTGAGAGTTGGACCATGAAGAAGACTGAGCACTGAAGAATTGATGTTTTTGAAGTGCGGTGTTGGAGAAGACTCTTGAGAGTCCCTTGGACTGCAAGGAGATCCAATCAGTCCATCCTAAAGGAGATCAGTCCTGGGTGTTCACATTGGAAAGACTGATGCTGAAGCTGAAACTCTAATACTTTGGCCTCCTGATGCGAAGAGTTGACTCATTGGAAAAGACCTTGATGCTGAGAGGGATTAGGGGCAGGAGGAGAAGGGAACGACAGAGGAAGAGATGGCTGGATGGCATCACCAACTCGATGGACTTGAGTTTGAGTAAACTCCAGGAGTTTGTGATGGACAGAGAGGCCTGGCGTGCTGCGATTCATGGGGTCGCAAAGAGTCGGACATGACTGAATGACTGAACTGAACTGACCTCATGTAGAAATTTGTAAGATGATTTGAGAGCGTTTGATTTGTATTTACTAACATCTCAATTTTCTGAATGGTAATATAGTTTCAGCAAGATGGAAAACTATAAAAAATTGTAAATACTTTGATTTAGAAATGTACTAGCGTTATCTTACCCGTCTTTATTTTCAGAGAATGGCTATTCAGGAATGTTTGTAGGTAATCTGGAGTTAATTTTGTGTGTATTCATGCATGAGAGAGAGGTTTATTTCTTTGGTTAACCAAAATAAAGCTATAAAAAAGCAGTTGTGGGAGGCAGGCTGGATCTTCTTCAACAACAGTTTATGTTAGTTTATATAATTTCTTCTGAGAGGTGATAACTGATCAAATCCTATCTTCTAAGAGTTCTTATTCTTAAGTTTCCTCATAATAAAAGACAGTACCCTTTACTAATGGCTTCAGATGAGCTGGGATTTTGTTAGGTATTGACTTCTGTCTTTGCTTCACAGGTGGTTTGTATTCGCTCCACTTGGAATGCTCTCTCCCCAAAGCTGAGCTGTGACACAAGACCTCTCATTTTGAAGACCCTCAGTGAACTGTTTTCTCTGGTTCCTTCCTTAACAGTCAATACAGCTGAATATGAGGTATGTGTTTGGATCTCAACTAACTGTCTGTTTCTGCATTGGGAAAATGTGTGCTTTACCATTACTTTTGGGAGAAAATTATTCGTAATTTTGTGTTTGCCAAAAATCCTTTAGTGCTTTTAGTTCTGCTAACATGTTGATATCTTTATGGACTCCTAGGAATAGATGGATATCCACCCTTATCAGTCCTCTGTCTTTAAGACTTACTTACGTGAAGGATGCCAAGTTTTATTATGAAAGTATAGTCAAGATTATTAAAAGCCAGTATGTTTCTAAAATAATAAAATTCATGAGACCAGCAGTTTAAATGTGTTTTGTTGGTGTTTAAAATTCTACAAAGTATTACAGAGGATTTAGTAAGGCAGGGCAGACTTTCCCAGTAGTGTGGACATAGTGTTATTGTACTTTGCTTCTAGCTTGGGCATAGAGATTTTATTTTTTATGTGTTATTAATAGTTTACATTTCCAATATACATCTTTGCTCTTCATGTATTTTCTTCCATGAAGATGATTGTAAAATCAAACTGTCCTAGGAGTGGAAAATAATTTTATGAACTAGTCAGTATTTGGCATTGTAATGAACCACTTGGTGGAAGACATTTTCCTAAAAGATTCATGTGCTTCTGTTTAACATTTTCTTTATTTTCTCTTCTGTGAATGAAGTGAGAGGGTGGCAGATTCATTTATATCTCCACTTTTGTAGCCATAACCTTGTTTAAGCTCATGTTTTTTACTTTTCTTTCAAAGAGCTTCAATTAATTTTCACTTGAAGTCTTGGTAAACTTTTACTTTGATTTAATGCTTCACAGAGTTTGATAAACTAGCCCTCCATAAGATTCCAGGAAGAGCCCCTTACTTGTTTTAGATCACATGGTAAGACAGGAGTGTAAGATAATACTTGTTCCAATAATTCTAAATGCTACACAGTGAGTAAAATCAAATTTGTCCTCACCAAGGGCACAATATCTAGCATGGCATATAATATGTATTCAGAAACTAGTTATTGAATGAATGAATGAACCAGTACAGGATATTGTGAGTTTATTCTCACATTTGGGCTTTTGTTTGGGGGTATTAAAAAAATAATCAGTTCAAGACTCCTAGAGTATATAATTCACCAACAGTCTTTTTTTTATGACTGCCATTCACGGGTACATACCTTTATGATGTCAGAAAGTCTGCCAGGCTACTGATAAGGAGCTCAGACTAAAAACCAAAATAAGGACTTTGTATGTCATGTTGTGTATATTTCTTTTCTGTCTTTAAGAACTGAACTCATATACCTTTGTGCTGCCTGTACTTTGAGTTATTCAGATTTTATTACAGGTTAATGTGTGAAGTGGTTTGTGTGTTGCTTTCTTATGTTTGCTCACATAGGTATAAGTTGTCTTCTGGACTGTGTTTTTTCCCTTCAAATTTTACATTCTTATCCGCTGACATTTTGTTTTGGTCTGTCTTCATGCTTATAATAATATTAGGATTCCCCTGTTGTTCACATAGCAGCTTTGGGATGTTCTATCCATCAGTTTTCTCCTAGTAAGGGAGATTCCTTCAGTGACCAGAGCCTACTTGGAGCAGAAGGGGAGAAATGTAGAGAAAGCCCCCTTCCATCTGCCATTCTGACTCACTCTGTCCCTTCTTTCTTCCCACCTTCCCCACTTTCTCTTTCCTTCTCTTTCTCCTTCCCTCCTTCCCCCTCTCTCTTCCTGTGTGTGTTTAAATACTTTTTTTTTTCTATTAATTGCTTAGAGTTTGTTGGCATGTAAGCCGGAGTTAAATGTAGTTTTCCCAAAGCATTTCTTAGGTCATTGCTATCCCATGTCACCTCACCTCAAATGCCTTTTGTTTACCTAAAAAAAGAAGTCCAGTTGGTTTATACGCACCCAATAAGGTCTTTTAGAATCGTGCCTCACTCTACTTTTCTGCCCCCTGCACTCCAGGAAAACCAAACCACTTGTAGTTTCCTTCTCTGTTTCCAAATGTTTCTATTTCTTTTCCTTTGTTCATGTTGTTCTTTCTGTCTTGAATTACTTTCTTTTTCATCTCTAATTTTAAAGTCTATTTTAGGAAATAAAAAAATCAGTTTAAGTTATCCCATCCATTGAGAATTTTTCTTCAAGGAGTCTGTGTTTCCCAAAGTTCTTTATCTATACTGTCTTAAGAACTTTTATTTCTATTTTATATTTACTTCAGGTACATGTGCACAAATATTATCTCCATTAAAATATAAGCTTGTTGAAAATAGAGTCCATGTTTCAATTAATGTGTTTTCTGAATTGCTTTTTAAAGTGCTGGATACATTCATTCATTGACTCAGAATATATTTATTAAAACTGTACTAGGCCTTAGAGATACTAATAAATAATAGATACTAATAATAAAAACAGATACTATTTTAAGTAGTTTTACTCCCAGCACTAGTTACTTTATGTTACAATATTAGTTCTAGTATCTGATGAGATAGTATTTTTCATATTATAATAAGAGAATCTGAGGTTTTGAGAGGTTGACTCATTCATTAAACATACATTTACTGAGTATCTGCTACATGCAAGACAAATAACTGAGCCAATACTGCAGTTTCTAAGTGAAAGCTGTTTTCTAAACCCAGCACTTTCTAGCTTCATTATACCACATTGTCAGGACCTGCCTTTAAAAGCTCAAAAGTTGGTAAAGGATATAGACATAAGCAATAATAATTACAATAGCATTTGTTGAGTGCATTTAATCAAATGGCTAGGAGAGTATGGTGGTGGAAATGACCAACATTCTTAGGAGGACACTAAAGAAACTTTATTTAGTTGGTGCTATTGGGCTAGGATCATGAAGAATTACTAAAGTATTGCTTTCCATTGAAGTTTTGAAGAGAATATGCAAAGTCAAGGAGGTATAAAAGAACCTCATATGATCTAGCAGGCAAGAAGTTAGATGTGGCTAAAATGAAGGAGACATTAAGTGCCGGAAGATAAATGGCTTTTCATGCTCACTTATTTATTAAATATTTGTCATTTGAGGGAGTGGGCTTTATATTCTTTATATACCAGCCTTTGAAATGAGAAAGACAAATACCACATTAATGATTATACAAGCTAGGAGAGATTAACCACATACCCAGATAATCACATTAAATGCTAAAGTGTGCCGTGTGCCATATGGCTGCTTGGAGAAGGGAGAACTCTCGTCTGGGTAGGGGATTAGGAATAGTGGCCTGAAAGAGGAGAGTAATCTAACGTTTGTACTGAGATTTGAGAGGTCAGTAAGAAATGGTTGGGGAAAAAAGTGAAAAGTGAAGTGAAATTTAATGATCTCAAAGTCTCACCTTATTTAAAATATCCATATGTTTAGATGATGAATCTATTTCTGAGTGTTTTCATTTTATGAATGATAGGTAAGTACAGATTAAGTTAGTTACACGTGGTATCATTTTGAAAGTGATTTACTTTTGACATTTGCTACTTTAGATTGTTTACTCTCAATTTTCTCTTTGTCTTAGAATTTATTCTGTTGTTTGTTGATTTTTCAGAATTTTAAAATTCAAGTCCTCAGCTTCCTCTGGAACCATACTCAAAACAAGGTACTATCAGAAGGGTGTCAGATAAACAGAACCAAGCTGGGGTAGGAATTGTAATACAAGAATATTATAAGAATTATAGAACTGTGTTATAAAGAATTATAAGAATAGGATAAAAAATTTAAATTTTTGATTTAAAAATTATGACTACAAGTTTAGATTTTAAAAATTATTCTTAATTTATGCCAGTTAATACATTTTCACCATAAAATACACTTATTACTTTGTGATGCTGATGGATGTGAAGAGGGACTATTGCCATTGTCTCTCATTTTTAATGGTCTTTCCTCTTTCCTGCTTTGCCCCTTCCCACCAATAAGCACATCAAATGAATAAAAATCCCACTCCATTTTTAAATGTCATTTCCAATCAAGAAATATGGAGAAAAAAGTGTCGGTGATATTGTACCCAACTCATGAGTGAAAAAACTTAGATTCCAAACGGTCAACTTTCCCTGTGAAGTAGCTGAAGAACCAGAGAAGAATCATATTTTTACGTTTAATGTCTCAACGAGGATAAATATTAGGTGCTTCTTATGTGTCTGCCCAATGCTCTTTTCTCTCTACTTTTACTTGGGACATACTAAGTGAGGCATGAATACCATTTCCAAAGCACTGACTATAGAACATTAAGGTTGGTGAGGGAAAATTTTCTTTCTTCCTCCAGAGTTGATATTTAATATATGCCATTTCTTTTGTTTATTTTACTAGGACCCAGTTGTCGCAAATGCTGCCTATAAATCTCTGTCACACTTTGGTGCTGGGGACCACACGATTCTTCATCTGCCTGAAGAGGTAGGCCTTCCAGCTTTCTCACTACTGGCTCTTTTCTCCTGGGTTTATAGCTTTATTTGTATCCCTCTATGGAAGAGATTCTTACCTGTAACTCTAGATATATTGTCCTTGAAAGATAAGAATTTATATTCACTATTTGTTTTATCTGTTATAGATTGTAGAGGTCTTAGACTTCACAGATAGTGAATTTAAATCTCTTTGAAGCAAATGAAAGCGATGGATGGAGCAAAATGTAGTCTCCATAAGGTGACGGATTGTATGACAGCATTTCTCTGCCCAGAGCAGATCGGTGTCACTCTAGGAACCACTTTACCCAAACACAGACTGCATAGAGGATGGTTTTCTATCACCTGGGCAGCCAAAGATCTTTATTTGTGATGGAGACTTGAGACGCCTTGTGAAAACAATCTGCTATTTATTTGTTTATTTTGAAATAATAGTCCTGGAGAACTGGGTGAAGAAGGTATCACTCTCTTTTAAGTGTTAACACATTATATGACATTGTCTCAGTTTTTAGACTAAAAACAACCAACCTTTTCTAACATCTACCTAATATAACCAGCTTTCAATTCTCAGGTTATATTAAGGAGTAAAGTGTATGGTTTCACATTTAGTGTTACTGCTAATTCAAAGACATACAAATGTTTATTTTATTTTTTAAAGTTTTTCTTTATGTGGACCATTTTTAAAGTCTTTATTGAATTTTTTACAATATTTCTTCTGTTTTATGTTTTGGTTTTTTTGTGGGGTTCTAACTCCCCAGTTCAGTTCAGTTCAGTCGCTCAGTCATGTCCGACTCTTCGCAACCCCATGGACTGCAGCACACCAGGCCTCCCTGTCCATCACCAAATCCCAGAGTCCTCCCAATCCATATCCATTGAATCAGTGATGCCATCCAACCATCTCATCCTCTGTCGTCCCCTTCTCCTCCTGCCCCTAATCCCTCTCAGCATCAGGATCTTTTCAAATGAGTCAGGTCTTTGCATCAGGTGGCCAAAGTATTGGAGTTTCAGCTTCAGCATCAGTCCTACCAATGAACACCCAGGCCTGATCTCCTTTAAGATGGACTGGTTGGATCTCCTTGCAGTCCAAGGGACTGTCAAGAGTCTTCTCCAACACCAAAGTTCAAAAGCATCAATTTTTCAGCACTCAGCTTTCTTCACAGTCCAACTCTCACATCCATACATGACCACTGGAAAAACCATAGCCTTGACTAGATGGACCTTTGTTGGCAAAGTAATGTCTCTGCTTTTTAATATGCTGTCTAGGTTGGTCATAACTTTCCTTCCAAGGAGTAAGCGTCTTTTAATTTCATGGCTGCAGTCACCATCTGCAGTGATTTTGGAGCCCAGAAAAATAAAGTCAGCCACTGTTTTCACCGTTTCCCCATCTATTTGCCATGAAGTGATGGGACCAGATGGCATGATCTTAGTTTTCTGAATGTTGAGCTTTAAGCCAACTTTTTCACTCTCCTCTTTCACTTTCATCAAGAGGCTCTTTAGTTCTTCTTCACTTTCTGCCGTAAGGGTGGTGTCATCTGTATATCTGAGGTTATTGATATTTCTCCTGGCAATCTTGATTCCACCTGTGCTTCCTCCAGCCCAGCGTTTCTCATGATGTACTCTGCATATAAGTTAAATAAGCAGGGTGACAATATACAACCTTGATGTACTCCTTTTCCTGTGTGGAACCAGTCTGTTGTTCCATGTCCAGTTCTGACTATTGCTTCCTGACCTGCATACAGGTTTCTCAAGAGGCAGGTCAAGTGGTCTGGTATTCTCATCTCTTTCAGAATTTTCCACAGTTTATTGTGATCCACACAGTCAAAGGCGTTGGCATAGTCACTAAAGCAGAAATAGATGTTTTTCTGGAACTCTCTTGCTTTTTCTATGATCCATCGGATGTTGGCAATTTGATCTCCCCAACCAGGGATCAAACCCCTAACCCCTGCACTGGAAGACAAAGCTTAACCACTGGACTACCAGAGAGGTCCCTGCAAATGTTTATTGAATGCCGTTAGAGAGTGAGGAAGACATAGTGTTAGAAGAAGTTATGTGTGACATGACCCAGAATCCATCCTAGGGGTGAAATGACAAGAAATTTTGTTATAAATTTCTTGGGATCCTCAAGCATTTTAAATGGGTTGACTTTTTCTTGTGGATTGAGTTTATTTAACGATTAGATGCTAGTAGAAACCAGACAAGCTTCTGTTTATTGAATTGAATTGAAGGGACTGACGATAGGCTCTCGTAAAACCAAATCCATCACAAGGCAGGATTTCCCGTGTTACTGAGAACTCAAAGACAGATCGGCCAGCTTGTCATGCAGTTATCACAAACAGGAAGTCTTAAGAAAAGATTTGTTCTTTGACTCATAAAATTAAAAAATGGGATTTCAGGCTGCACTGTGGTGATCAGCAATACCCATAGCTTCTTTAAAAAAAAGAGAAATGAAAAAGTTACATGTAAATTTGATTTTCAGACTCTTACCAGTAGGTTAGCTACAGTTTGTAGAAAGATACTTTTTTGTTATTACTATTTTAAATAAGCATTTTCTAACTTAGATCACAGCATAATGATTGCCTTATTTTTAGCTATTATTGCTGAAATATTCCAGCTGGCATAATAGCTTTTATTAAATAACTGCCATATACTCTTCAGTATTTAGTCTTTACCTCTTTAAATGTTGATATGTTTATATTTTATTCTGTGGTGGTTTAGTTGCTAAGTCATGTTCAACTATTTGTCACCCCAAGAACTGTAGCCTGCCAGGCTCCTCTGTCCATGGGATTTCCCCGACAAGAATACTAGAGTGGGTTGCCATTCCCTTCTCCAGAGGATCTTCCCGACCCAGAGATCGAGCCCAGGTCTACTGCATTGCAGGCAGATTCTTTACTCCTGAGCCACCAGGGAAGCCCTGTATTTTATCCTACTTGAGGGTTATGTTTAGTTTCTGATTATGTTTGTCAGAGTTAATAGTCAGTTAAGTGCTATACTCAGTCACATGTTACTTTCTTAACTCACTCCTGTATCCTCAGATTCTTGAATAATAACCATAAATAGCTCTTTATATCTTCCAATGTAAAGAGTAGTGATGTAGAGTTGGGTTTATATACATGTTTGGGTTTTCACCAACAGAGCCTGAAGGTCTATAAAGGAAATCTCTAAGACTTATTTTAGCCTTGCTTTTTCAACCTTTTTTCCTGCCCTAACCCCCTTCTGGGATACGACTCACTCCTACAGGTATCTGGTTCACTGGTGGTAGTTTGGTGGTTAAGTCACTTAGTCATGTCCAACTCTTTGTGACCCCGTGGACTGTAACCCAACAGGCTCCTCTGTCCATGGGATTTCCCAGGCAAGAATACTGGAGTGGGTTGCCATAGCCTTCTCCCGGGGGCCTTTCCGACCCAAGAGTCGAACCTGGTCTCCTGCACTGTAGGTGGATTCTTTACTGACTGAGCCATGAGGGAAGCATTCTCTCAACTGGGATTGAGATGAGAGGACTTAATGGTTTAGAAGAGTCTACCTCCCTCCAACCCCCAGCTTCTGATATAGAGAGCCTTCCTCCACATGAAGAAATCACTATTTCCAAGGCTATGCACCATGCATTCTTCTTCTTTTCATTCATTACTGATCTTCAGTTTGGTTGTTTGAAGGACTAAAAGCCCCCAAAATGGCCAATATGTTCATATCCCAAGCAAGTCCCCAAAGGCAATGGATGCAACCAAGTCAGCTCCTGCTTCTGTGCAGTGGATGATGGCAGTAATGTGAAACTGTGACTCACTTTCTCTGAAAGCATACTTTCAACTGTTTCAGAAGTTCTCTCCAGGTAGGGACTTTTCTAGTTGTAAGATCTAAGATTCCTTCTTGTTATCAAAGTTTACTCACTCTGCACCATGGCCAATTGGCTTACTCACAAAACTGAAGGCTACTTGTATACTTTTCCAGTGAAAGTATGTCCAGTCTCTCTTTCTATTTGTGGAAACTTGTGAAATAATCTTTAAGAAAATATTCTGTGAATTTCAAGTAGAAAAAAAATTTTAAAAAGATACAATGGGGACTTCCATGGTAGTCCAGTGGTTAAGAATCCACCTTGCAATGCAGGAGAAACTAAAATCCCACATGCCACAGAGCAACTTAAGCCCGTGTGCCACAACTAGAAAGTCTGTGAGCCACAGTGAAAGATCCCATTTGACACAATGTAGATTCTCAGTGCCACAGCTAAGACCCAATGCAGCCAACTAAATAAATATTTTTTAAAAATAAAAAAAGTAGATACAGTGGATAATTGGGCTTCCCTGGTCACTTGGTAAAGAAACTACCTCAATGCAGGAGACCTGGGTTCGATCCCTGGTTTGGGAAGATTTGGAGAAGGGAACGGCTATCCACTCCAATATTCTGGCCTGGAGAGTTCCATGGATTGTATAGTCCATGGGGTTGCAAAGAGTCAGACATGACTGAGCAACTTTCACTTTCACAGAGGATAATAGCCACATGGTTACTTTGGTGGATTATAATTCAACTACTTTTGTAAGTACACCTTTCTTTAAATTTACTAAAGAAAGATTTCTTGTTCATTGCTGCATCCACATAAACTGTGAAACTTGTTGAAAGAAAGCTAACAGGCTGGTAAATCAAAAGCCGTTAAAGGAGTGGCAGACATCAGCAGGAAGGTTTAGGGTTAAATGAAACAGTGCATGTAAGGTAAGATGGAAAATGTCTGTGGAGAGCAGAGCTGAGTAAGATACCATGTAAGCTTGGGATTTGAATACCAGATTCATTAACTCATCTTTCTTGTCACTGGTGTGTTATTAGGAACTTCTGTGGATTATTGCCGATAGGCACTTAACAGTTGCATTGCTTTAATAATTATTTATTGGACATATATATACTAAGTGCTAGGCTGTTTTATGAGCTGGGAATGTTGAATGAATCCATGTGTTTATTCATTTGTAACAATATTGTTAATCATTTGAAATATGCAAATCTAAAATTGGTTAAAAAATTCAGTGGGGCTTCTTTGAGGACTTATTTCAATATTAAATAGAATGATTTTTTCCCCCATTTAGTTTGTATTTCATAGTCTTTTAGCTATTTATCCTTTTCCTTCGCCAACACCCCACAAATGAAACAAAATGAAAAAACAAACCAAAAAAAAAAAAAAAACNTAGAGAATTGTATTTCTGGTAAAACAGTCAGTAATGGATAAACATTTCAGTTGATTCTTCTCTGACTTGGGTTCATTAAAAAATATTTGGCTGTTTAAAAATTGAACTTTTTATTATAAAGCTCTTAAGATAGATTGTGTTGTTGATTTCTGGAGTTAATTTTAGAAGTGAGTAATATAAAAGAACTCATTATGTACCCTGGGTTGGTATTAATGTGGTATAACCTGTTTGGCTTTGATTTAAGTGAATGTCATTGCATTCATCAGAAGCTGTTTCTTTTTGTAAATGAATTTATGCAGATACTTGACATGTTCCAAATAAAATTCTCTGCTTATCCACAAACTCCTGGATTTTTATAGGTTGCACACACAGAAGAATGGCTGAAAGGTTATCTGACTAAGAACATGTAGTGAAGCATTTTGTAGGATAAGCTTTTCAATATTCAACTTAAAGCAGATTTTAGAAGTAATTTATCATTTTATATTTGGCTCTCCCTTTAAGTTTCTTCAACAAAGCTTAGCTGTAATTGGAAGGGCGTAGTTGGTGTCTGTATGTGCATTCTTGTGTGTGTGTATGTGTATGTTCTAAAAAGACCCCTTTTTCCCCTGTATGTTTGAGTAGCTAATATGGTACAGTTAACCAACATTTTAGCATTTTAACAAGTATTCTTTCATATGTCTTCCCTTGATTTTCCTTAGTTGTACTCATGTTGATCTTATTCCATTGTTGCATACCAGTCAAGGGAAAAGACTGGGTCTAGTGTAGGGAAGCTGGAACAAATGCTTGAAGAAAAGTGAGCCGAGGAGGAGGGATATGTAATGAAACCAAGGTCTAACAATAAGTGCTCATCTGTTCAGGAGAACCAACTCACCTTTGAAGAAACATAATTGAAGGAGTAATCATACCATTATAAGTAGGCAGAGTATTTCTGTACTTAAATGACAGTACATTTCTAATTTCTTTGTTAAAATATATATGCATATGTAAGATACAGACATATGTTGTTAAATTAGGTCATTTTTTATATATTATTTATATATAATAAGGTTGAGCAGAAACACCGGATAAGCTAAAATGTATGCAAAAAAGATCATATTTCTTTTATATGAAGTAATTCTGGAATTGAGAGTGTCTGGTTATCTGGCGTAGTTCATACACCAGCTCAGAACCGTCTGAAGGGTGTGGCGGCTTCTAGTTCTGTTTCCTATGCTTCCGCTTCTGTGGCTACCCCCTCAGCAGCTCCCTCCTCCAGGTCACACTCTCTCCCCTTTCCTCTCTTTCTTATAGCCTTCCTTCCTTTCTTTTTAAACAACTTTGAAAAGTGAAAGTGTTAGTCACTCAGTCCTGTCCAGCTCTTTGTGACCCCATGGACTGTAGCTCGTCAGGCTCCTCTGTTTATGGAATTCTCCAGGCAAAAATACTGGACTGGGTTACTGTTCCCTTCACCAGGGGATCTTCCCCACCCAGGGATTGAACCCAAGTCTTCTACATTGGCAGGTGGATTCTTTACCATCTGAGCCACCAACTTTATTGAGATATAATTTGCATCCCATGCGGTTCACTCATTTAAAGCATATAATTCTAGTGATTTTAGTGTATTCAAAGAATTGTTCATGTAATCACCGAGCTACCACAATCTAGTTTTAGAACATTCTATTAGCCACCAATTCCCATTACCCGTCCCCTGCCTCCCCAGCACTAAGCAACTGTTAGTATGCTTTCTGTCTCTAAAAATTTACGTGGCCTGAACTTTTCCTATAATGAAATCATATAATATGTGGTCTTTAGTGACTGACTTTGTTCACTTAGCATAATGTTTTCCAAGTTCATGAGTACCACATACCTGCATTTAATACCCATTTATGATTGAATAATATTCCATTGTATAGATATGCCATATTTTGTTTATGTGCTCATGGACATTTGAGTTGCTTCCATTTTTTTTTTGGCTATTACCACTAATGTATTCACACTCATGAACGTTGATGGGCAAGTTTTGTGTGATCATTTATTTTTACTTCTTTTGGTCATATACGTAAGAGTAGGATTGTTGGGCAGTCCTACTGTGTAACTCTGCCTTTAACTTTCTGAGCAGCTGCCAAACTATTTTCCAAAGGGGCTGTACCCTTTTACGTTCCTATGAACAGTGTGTAAGGGTTCTGATTTCTTCACAACTGCACCGTCCCTCTGCATTTTCATATTAGCTTAAGGGTTTAGTGCTGCCTTCCACCTCCCAGAGTCCCCTGTCTCTGTGAACATGACTTGCTGCAGAGTTTCCCAATGCTGTGGTACTCTGGGGGCTTCCCAGGTGGCCCTAGTGGTGAAGAACCCACCTGCCAATGCAGGAGACATAAGAGACAGAGGTTCCATCCCTGGTCAGGAAAATCCCCGGGAGGAGGGCATGGCAACCCACTCCAGTATTCTTGCCTGGAAAATCCCATGGGCAGAGGAGCCTGGTGGACAATAGTCCATAGGGTCTCAAAGAGTCAGACATGACTGAAGCGACTTAGCTCGCACACACTGATGCTCTGGTGTGCTAACAGTGTTATTCGTGTAGTCTCCAGCTGTAAGCATTATTGTCTGTTTGCCCCTGTATGCTCTTCAAATACTTTTTTCAATTTGTACTATGTTGTGTAAAGAGTCAGGAAGCAAGGTAAACGGATCCAGAACCAACTCCCTTTGGGGAACTTTTTAGGCAGCTAGGACTAGTTAAAATCTCTAAGATAGAGGATATCTCTGGCAGTCCAGTGGTTAAGAATTCTCCCTTCTACTGCAGGGATTGTGGGTTCTATTCCTGGTCAGGGAACTAAGATCCCACATGCCACGTGTATGGCCAAAAAAAAAAAAAAAAGACCTCTAGGATACCTCTTGATGATACTAAATGTGGCAGATTCCAAGTATACAAGCACACCAGAGATACTCAGAAAACCCTCCTTGTCAGAACCAGAAGGTTTGCAAATGTGCCAGGGTTTCTCTGGTGTACACTGAAAGTGGCAAATGCGGACATGCTCTCCACAGGGCATACATCATTGTTATCTCTGTAATTATGGCTGGCTCAGTCCTCTGAGAATTAGGTCCTCAAGACTGAATCAGAATTAAATCTTGTCTTGGAAAGTACTCGATAGGTTGCTTTCACTCCTTCACTAGCAAAAAGGAACACTAGTTATGGTTGAAAGACTTCATCAGAGTTGAGGTTATTATACTTAAGAAACATTTTATCTCTGTTTTCTTTTATCCCCCTGCAAGTTTCCTGACTCAGTGCAGTTCCTAAATGAAACAGTGCTTTGGGGACCTATGAAGAAGGCAGTCTGCAGGAATTGTTAATTATTTCTAAAAATAACTGTGGGAGACAGACTAGTGGTAATGACTGGGTTCTGGCACTTTATGGTTATAGCAACCACTTTTATATATTTTGATTTCCTCCCCTAATGCTTAATTATCTCCATGGGCATGACAATGGTATGTCATTGAAAGTATTAAAAATTTAATTAATTGCTTGACAGTTATATCTTGTGGAAATTACCATAGTGATAATCTTTCTACCTTTTTAATTTTTGGTTCAAACAAATCTAACTAATCACAAATCTTCAAATGGCAAATTAGACACAATAAAATAGAGCTACCAATTACAGATTTTAGTGTTTTTATATTCTCTTGCAACAAACTATAGAGTCAAACAATAAGTCAACTAAAGCATTCTGTGTCATCTCTACTATATATCCTACTAGAAGATTTTAAGCTTTAGAAATATAGCTAAAAATCACAGATTTTTTTAAAAAAATGTTTTCAGACAAGGCAAATATTTAATTATAAACCATAGAAGTTCAATATTCTGAGTGTGTTTGCATTTTATTGTCTGATGGTGTAAAATTTTTATTTTCTCTAGTAATCATTGCTTATGCTGGTTTATGATGATTTTCTTACTATATTACCATTAGTTCTTTACATTGATTTGGGAGTGTATCTAATAAGATGATTAGAATTTACCATTTAGTTAATTTGAAAATAAATAGATCTTGAAAATCAATTTTAATGATCTTTTGACATTGTAGAGCAATGAGTCTCAATGAACTTTGAAAAGGGCAAGTAAAAGGTTTTAGTATCACTTTCTCTATCATTTCAGGTAAGACCAGAAATCCAAACTCCTGATGACCTAGATGAAGATGAAGATGAGGACGGTGATGAAAAAGAGGTGGATCTTTCCATTCCTGGCTCTTGCTATCTCAAACTTTTGTCACTCACAGCTCCTTCAGTTTTACCAGGTGGGAAAACTGGTAAAGAAACTTTTGTCCTAAAAGCTAGCATTTTTGTGTGTGTGCTTTTTTTTCCTACTTGTCTGATTAATTGTGCTCTTTTGTGATGTATGCATAGTCTAGCTTACTTTAGTCTTAAATACTTATTTTCTATCTGTGTCCTATAGGGACTCCTTGAGATAGTATGGTTCCAAACACACTGAAAAATGTTAGACTTAAAATTAAACTGGATAACTAGTTTAAACAATCATTTTCACTGGAAAATTTAAATTCATTTTAAAAGTTAAATTTATTCTACAAGACAGATTTGCAGTGGGGCTCTTAAGTTGCTGATTCAAATGTTTCTTTAGCTTATTTATAAACTGAATGAAAAGATCATTAGAATCTTCAGGAATTTCCTGGGTAGTTTCATTACATTTCCTGGCGGTCCAGTGGTTAAGACTCACCCTTCTAATGAAGGGGCTGTGGGTTTGATCCCTGATCAGGGAACTAAGATCTCATATGCTTTTGGGCTTCCTTGGTGGCTCAGATGGTGAAGAATCCGCCTGCAATGTGGGAGACTTGGGTTCAGCCCCTGGGTTGGGAAGATCCCCTGGAGAAGGGAATGGCTACCCACTCTGGTATTCTTGCCTGTAGAATTCTGTGGACAGAGGAGCCTGGTATGCTAAAGTCCAAGAGGTTGCAAACAGTCAAACATGACTGAGTAACTTTCACTTCACTTCATCATTAGAAATATATTCTTCCTTTAGAATTACTTTAAAGAAATGGTGGTACCAATATTTGAGAACTATCCATTAATGCTTTTTAAAAATAGATTAAGTTATATGGTCATTTAGTTTTGATATAAAGTGTATAGGACCTTGACTCTTAAATAATTATTCTAATTATATCCAATTATTCCAATTCAATATTAGCCAACATTTTTACAAGCATGCATTTATTACCTTGTTCTGTCCCAAATCTAACCTGAATATTTATGGATGTAAAAATTAAGTTCAGTAAACACACAAAATGTCATCTTTGTCTTCTTATTAATGATCATAGTCTTCTCACTTCATAATGCAGCCTATAATGTTAGAGATTTTTTGGTGGTTTTATTTTTAATTTGACTGCATCAGATCTTTAGCTGTGGTGTGTGGGATCTGTTAGTTGTGGCATGTGAACTCTCAGTTGCGACATGTGGGATCTTGTTCCCTAACCAGGAATCGAACCCAGGCGCCCTCATTGGGAGCACAGAGTCTTAGCCACAGGACCACCAGGGAAGTCCCAGGTTAGACGTTTTGATACTTGGTTTCCTCCTACATGGAGATCCCTGAGGAATTCTGCCAAATACATTTAGTATTTATTGCTAGAGCATGCTTCTGTCCCTAAGTCCTGCCTCCTTTCATTAGAGAAAACCGAACAGTACACCTTAGACAGAGCTCATCTTTTCCTTCCCCCTTATGTCCAGAAAAGCTTTAAAGACTTGTTGCCATTTTCTTTCTCCTGTTCATCCACACTTCTTACCTCAAGGCTCCTCAGAGTCTGCTGCTGCTGCTAAGTTGCGTCAGTTGTGTCCGACTCTGTGCGACCCCATAGACGTCAGCCCACCAGGCTCCCCCATCCCTGGGATTCTCCAGGCAAGAACACTGGAGTGGGTTGCCATTTCCTTCTCCAATGCTTCAAAGTGAAGAAGTGAAAGTGAAGTCGCTCAATCGTGTCTGACTCATAGCGACCCCATGGACTGCAGCCTACCAGGGTCCTACGTCCACGGGATTTTCCAGGCAAGAGTACTGGAGTGGGGTGCCATTGCCTTCTCCACCTCAGAGTCTAGGACCTCCCAAATCCCCTGTGGTTAATAGTGGGTCCAAAGAGGAAAAAAGCCTCCAGTTATCCAAAGTTCTGCCTATACCCCCAGATAACCAAAAAGTTCAAAGTCCTCTTGGGCTTTTTTTTTTTCTTTCTCATTTATTTTTATTAGTTGGAAGCTAATTACTTTACAATATTGTAGTGGGTTTTGTCATACATTGACATGAATTAGCCATGAATTTACATGTGTTCCCCATCCCGATCCTCCCTCCCACCTCCCTCTCCACCCGATCCCTCTGGGTCTTCCCAGTGCACCAGGTCCGAGCACTTGTCTCATGCATCCAACCTGGGCTGGTGATCTGTTTCACCCTAGATAATATACATGTTTCGATGCTGTTCTCTCAAAACATCCCACCCTCGCCTTCTCCCACAGAGTCCAAAAGTCTGTTCTTTACATCTGTGTCTCTTTTTCTGTTTTGCATATAGGGTTATCGTTACCATCTTTCTAAATTCCATATATATGTGTTAGTATACTGTAATGGTCTTTATCTTTCTGGCTTACTTCACTCTGTATAATGGGCTCCAGTTTCATCCATCTCATTAGAACTGATTCAAATGAATTCTTTTTAATGGCTGAGTAATATTCCATGGTGTATATGTACCACAGCTTCCTCATCCATTCGTCTGCTGATGGGCATCTAGGTTGCTTCCATGTCCTGGCTATTATAAACAGTGCTGCGATGAACATTGGGGTGCACGTGTCTCTTTCAGATCTGGTTTCCTTGGTGTGTATGCCCAGAAGTGGGATTGCTGGGTCATATGGCAGTTCTATTTCCAGCTTTTTAAGAAATCTCCACACTGTTTTCCATAGTGGCTGTACTAATTTGCATTCCCACCAACAGTGTAAGAGGGTTCCCTTTTCTCCACACCCTCTCCAGCATTTATTGCTTGTAGACTTTTGGATAGCAGCCATCCTGACTGGCGTGTAATGGTACCTCATTGTGGTTTTGATTTGCATTTCTCTGATAATGAGTGATGTTGAGCATCTTTTCATGTGTTTGTTAGCCATCTGTATGTCTTCCTTGGAGAAATGTCTGTTGAGTTCTTTGGCCCATTTTTTGATTGGGTCATTTATTTTTCTGGAGTTGAGCTGGAGGAGTTGCTTGTATATTTTTGAGATTAATCCTTTGTCTGTTGCTTCGTTTGCTATTATTTTCTCCCAATCTGAGGGCTGTCTTTTTACCTTGCTTATAGTTTCCTTTGTTGTGCAAAAGCTTTTAAGTTTCATTAGGTCCCCCTCTTGGGCTTTTTAAATGATGCTGTTCCCTCTTAAATAGACCCTTACTCTAGTCTCATGGAATTAGAAACAGGAGAAGGGGTGAGATGTGTGTGGTCGAGGTATACTGTTGTTTCTGCCCACAGTATGTTCAGAGCTGTGATTGCCATTAACTGGCTCTTCTGCATGTTTGTACTTGATGTTTACTAGTATCTGTCCCTAAGGAAGAAGGGGAGGGTTGAGATTAACTGTATCTATTTGAGAAAATTCAATAATTAGAGTCAGTCAGGTGAATGATCTAGAGGCTGACTGTGTCTGGCAGACCATGTCACCACGAGCAGAGTTCTTCCATTTTTTGTTACCTCATATTCCCTGTGATTGTAAGAACCAGGAAAAGGCACTGCAGAGGTGTACCACCTATGAAGTACAGGGTGGATGATATATTTTAAGGCTCTAGGTACAGCAGGCAGAAGACTGAATTGCACTGAATGTAAACTAATCCTGGCCCTTTTCTTCTCTTATTCCTTTCTTTTTTTCTTAAAGATAATGGTTTTAATTGCATTAATGAGATGAAAAAATCGTGAAGCCCTGTGTGCTGCTTACATGAAAGAAGATTTTTTAAAAAATAATCACTGTGCAAAATACAAAGGGTGGGGTTAGGCTGTGATATTAAATTTCTCTCTTATTCCTTTCAAGTGAACACAAAAGTAGTTGCAAAGTAAATCCAGTGATTTGAATTATTTTATTTTATTTTGTTTTTTGATTTGAGTTTTTTAAATAAGGATGTTATTGGTATGCTGTAAAATATTTTTTAATTTTGAAATAATTTTAGACTTGTAAGAAGTTGCAAAATTAGAGAGTACTTTTACCCAGCTATTCCCATTGATAACATCTCACATAACTTTAGTTCATTATTAATACCAGGGAATTCACTTTCATATTGTTAATTAAATTATAGACCTACTTGGATTTCATCAATTTTTTTCCAGTATGTAAGTTTTGAGAATTAGCTTTTTAAAAAAGCTCAGTATAGCATCTAAGACCCATCCAAGTAGTTATCTGTATCAATTTGTTCTTTTTTATTGCTAAGTAATATTCCATTTTGAGATGTACCCAGGTGGCATTAGCAGTAAAGAACCCGCCTACAAATGCAGGAATTGTCAGAGACACAGGTTTGATCCCTGGATCAGGAAGATCCCCTGGAGAAGGGCACAGCAACCCACTCCAGTGTTCTTGCCTGGAGAATCTCTTGGACAGAGGAGCCTGGCAGGCTATAGTCCATGGGGTCACAAAGAGTCGAACACGACTGAACCGACTTAGCACGCACATAAAATGTACCATAGTTTGTCTATGTCCTCATCTGTTGGAAGACATTTGGTTTATATGTAACACTCTGTGTCCTACAGATTTTCAGCTCTTTTCAAATCCTCACTTGATCATCTGGAAGGAAGAGACTAGGGCAAGGTTCAAAGACAATGGGGAAAATTCCTAGTTGCTAGCTTTTTCAAGGGCTGGGACAGATGATACTGTACATATCAGTCGCATCCATGATATTTTACTTTCATTTAATCTGCTCTCAGGCCTGGAATTATTTGAGAGTTCTTAGTTCTCTGAAGTGCCTGGCAAATAGACAAATTTTCATTCCTGGGTTAGTCTGTGTGGAGATGTGTACTTATCTCTTGACATATATTATCTTTTACCAGAATAGGATGCCTTCTGTCCTCACAAGCACGTAATTCTTAGGTACACTCTGAAAAGTCTCGACTCCTCCATGGCTTGAAGCAGTCATTCATGTGCTCATGTATATAGGGTTTGGGGTATGTGACCTGCCAATGCATATTACCCACATTTTTCATTCAGATGACATATTGGTCAGGGTATTCACAGGAAATTCAGAGGGAATAGTTGAGAATTTAATAAAGGACTGCTTAAAGGTGTGCTGTCAGGTTAAAGAAAATTCACAAGCAATGGTGGATCATCTCAGAATAACAAATGTCTCAGCCTGAAGAGGTAAGGGAAGGTAATAGTTATGAGAATAAGAGAGAGCTTCTGTGTCATAAATAGGGCTGCCTAAGGGGAGTCAGGACCTTCAAAAGAGGGATACAGGCAGCCTGGAGCAGTCCTGCAGGAGAATGTCTAGGGAGTAACATGCCCTCACCTCTGTCCTCACCCGCTGATCTACCACTATCTCCCATTGAGTTAAGCCAGCTGAAAGCCAGAGGACAAGGGAACCTGGTGATGCTGTTGTGAAAGGTTATCCTTCCAGGGCACAGAGCAGGGTTGGGAGGGTGGATCTGGAGCGGAAAATGGAAAACTTACTACATAGGTGTTCTCTGGACTTTGAATGGAGAAGCTTGGTTGTGCCTAGAAAGGTTCCATATAAGAATGACAGAATTGGGTATGCAATCCATGTTACAGTATTCGCTGCCTTTAATTGTGGTCATTTAAAGGGGACATTTAGGTCTGTTCAGAATGAAATTCTAGTTTAGGTAGGTGGACTCTTGCTTTTTCTTCCTATAATAAGAGGCACATGTAGTGGTTTCCTTTTTGTTTCCCTTATGATTTGTTTAGCTTTATTTTTTTTGTTGTTGTTTTTGTTCTGCATTGGGCAACCTCTAGTGGTCCTTGGGAAAATAACACTTGAATATAAAGCTATAGTGTTAATCAAGTATTTTGCTTGAATATCTTGTTGTCTTCTGCTCCTGGATCACTATATTCCCTTATAATAAGTAAAGATGTCAAGCAATAAGGGTCTTGGGCTTAATTAGAAGGAACACAAATAAATAATGAATTAGTTTTTAAAAATAAGTGTACTGATATTACTACAGAATGAAGGACAGTCATAAAAGGCTCTTTCTAAATGATAAGAAAGAGCCAGTCACATGGCAGTCAAGGATTAGTGTGTTCTAGGTAGAAGGAATAACAAGTACAGTGGCCTTGTCTTAGGTATGAGCTTTGTATTATTGAGGAATGGAGTAAAGCCCATGTGAAAATGTGCCTTTAACATAGCTGGGAAGGAAGGCAGGTGGTAGAGATGTAGTCAGAAGGAGAGTCGGGAGCCAGGTCATAGAAAGCCTTGATCATTTCTAGAAGTTTTGATGTTATTATATGTACAGTGAGAAAACACCAGAAGGTGCTGGAGAAGGAAATGACATAAAATTCTAGCTTCTGAGTAGAGGATGGTTCAGAGCAGTGGTCATGAGGAGAAGAAATCAAGAAACTAGTTTTTAAATTCATCCAAATGAGAAAAAGAGAAGATAATGACCGGGCAAGTAGCAATAAAAATGGAAAGGGGTAGATTTGAGATATATTTTTAAAGATAAATCTAAAAGGACTTGCTAATGAATTATATATAAGAACTATGAGAAAGAGGAATTAAGAATGACCAGGTTTTTAAACTTGAATAACTGAGTGCCATGTCCTGGTTTTAGGAAGACTAAGAATGGGATGAGAATCAAGACTTGTTCTTTTATTTCGTGAAATTTGATCTAAAATATAGCTAAGGTGTTGTTTTGGTGAGTGTGTGTATATGACTTAAGAATGAATGTTTCTCTTCTAGCATACGATGTTTACTTTTGATCTCCTTTTATTTCTTTCAGCTTTGGAGGAATTTTTTACATCACTTGTGAAGCAAGAAATGGTGAATATGCCCCGTGGGGTGTATCACTCTGCATTGAAAGGAGGTGCCCGCTTAGATCAAGGAAAGACTGTAGCAGGAATCCCCAATTTTATGTTGAAGATGTATGAGACAAATAAGCAGCCAGGTTTGAAACCTGGCCTTGCGGGTAAGCACCATACATCAATGTGTAGGTTTTTAATGTACCGATTAAAGTTTCTCTTCCAAGTAGGATGTGACTGGGCATGAAAAGGCATTGCTGCTGCTCCTCACATCTAGACACACTGGGTCAATTACAAACATGAATCACTCATTAAAGCCATTTAGAGAACTGCAGAAGCAAAGACATAAATAAAAGCAAAGAAGAGATGGACTAAAATTACAGAATAGGGGGAACATTTTAGATATTTTAGATTGTTCCCTGCCCCACCCACTGGTCCCCACCTCATAGGGGATGTTCACCAATTTTGGTTGTGGACTGGGACTGGGAATGGGCTCAGGCAGAGGCCTGTTGGAGGATAGAAAAACCGGTAAAGATTTTAGTGGTGTCAAGGGACTAGGGTGATGTGGTGATTAATTTTATGTATCATCTTAATTGGGCTAAATGATCCTCAGATAACTGGTAAATATGATTTCTGAGTGTGTCTGTAAGTGAGTTTCCAGAAGAGGTTAGCATTTGAGTCAGCAGACTGAGTAAAGATCACCCAGAGCAGTATGGGTTGGCAACATCCAATCCATTGAAGACCCGAATAGAACAAAAAGACAGAGGAAGGGTGAAGCCGGGAGATCCATCTTCTCCTCCCTTTGGACGGTGGTGCTCCTGGTTCTTGGGCTTCCTGACTCAGACTGAATTACACCACTGGCTTTCCTGGTTCTCTCGTTTGCAGACAGGAGATTGTGGGACCTCTCAGCCTCAAAATTCTTGTGAATCAATCGCCATAAAAATAGCTACATATCTATATCTAGACATATCTTGTTAGTTCTGTTTCTCCAAAGATTCTAATATAGGTGACAGACTGGAGAGTTTCCTCTTAAGATATTTGGTGAGTTTTGAGTCTGCACTGAAAGTTAGAGAACTAGGCTGATGCTTCTGAAAGGCAGTGGTCTCCAGTCTTACGGTACTTGGAAAACAAAGACTGACTAGGAGAATGGGCCTGAAAACCAAGTATACAAATAGTGAATTGATACTGGAGATCTACAGGTCTTTTCACCTGGTTGCCTTTACTCATTGTGGCCTCAAAGGCTGAAATTCAGGCTTGACTTTAACAAGAGAGTGTTACAGGAGGCAGAGAAACCAACAGAGATCTTGACGTTTTTGTGGTAACCTTAGTGACAAAACTGAGGTAGAGGGACCTCAAGCACACAGCATGTTTCTCCCTTAAGGTATTTGTCAAATTTTGAAGCTTTGTGGGGTGGGAATTTAAAAGGTAAGCTGAAAACTAAGGACAGATGTAAATCTCTGAATCTCCCATAATCTTCCCATACTGAAGTCAAAGACCTTTTAGGCTGTCAGTTGAAAATCTTGAAGAAGGTGTGCCCTAGAAACAGGGTTGAACCAGAGGTAGATTGAGATTTACCACAGCTATAATCAAGCCTGGCTTAGTTAAATCCCCAATTCAGTTGAGATGATCAGTGCTTCACTCTGCCTAACAGAGGAGAAACTCCTCTCAGATGAAAAATAACATCATTTAGAATGCCTGTGGTTCTTTCATTACTATCCAGTATATAGGGAAAAGGTTCTAGGCATTTGAAAAAGGCAGAAACTAGAAAAGAAGGGAATGTCTCATGGAAATAAAGCAGGCAGTATATCAGGAAAGCATCACAATTCTGATCAGTGTACACAAAATAGCAGAGTTCAAACTACATGACAAAAAATTAGAACTAACTAAATAGACAAATCCACAATACTAGTAGGAAACTCTGAAACATCTTTTTCAATGACTTGATGAATAAGCAGACAAAAAATCAAGTTCACAAAACATGTGAACAATACTGTGAACAAACTTTACCTAAGTGATGCATGGAACATTGTATCTTATAGTGATATAATTTGTATGCTTTTAAACTGTACATTGGGTTATTTGTCTTCTTGTTGATTTTTAAGATTTCTTTATATACACTGGTAAAGGTCCTTTACCTGGAGGAGGAAATGGCAATCCATTCCAGTATTCTTGCCTGGAAAATCCCCATGGACAGAAAAGCCTGATGGGCGTATAGTCCATAGCGTCACCAAGAGTTGGACATGACTGAAGTGACTTAACACACACACACACACACAAACTGTACATTGGCAACTTATCAGAATGATCATATGGCAGATCATAAACTTCAACAAATTTCAAAATATTGAAGTCATTGAGTCTGTCCTCGGATAGCAATGGGATTAAGCTAAAACTAATAGAAAGATAACTGGCCTGGAAATTCCACTAGCCTGGAAATTGAATAATATACTTATAGATCATCCATGGATCAAAGGAAAAATCAAAATGGAAATCAGAAAATATTTTGAACTGAGTGATAATGGAAATAAGACAAATTACAACTTGTGGGATGCAACTAAAACAGTGTTAATGAGAAATTCATACCTTTAAAGCATATACTGAAAAAAAAAAGGAAAGAAAAGCAATGATATTAAAGCTTCTATTTCAAGAAAAATGGAAAATAGCAGTGAATTAAACTTAAATTATAAAGGAAAGGATAATAAATATAAGAATAAAAATCAATGAAAACAGAAAACATATAAAATAAAGAAAACCAGCAAAGCCAAAAGTTCACTCTTTGGCAAGTTTAAAAGAATTAATAAAACCATTGTAAGTCTGGACAGAAAAATAGAGAAATATAGATTACCTATACTAGGAACAACAAAGGAGACAGCACTTCAGACCCCACAGCATTTAAAAATAAAAATATTATGAAGAACTTTAAGCCAATGAATATCACAGTTTAGATGAGATGTAGAAGTTCATCAAAATATAAAACTTTGCAGAACTGACAGAAAGCACACTATATGAATAGTTTGCAGTTGGTTATTAGTATTAGTATTAAAGAAACTGAGTCTGTAAGAACCTTCCCACAAAGAAACCCTAGGTACAGTTGCTTCCTTGGCGAATTTTTCAAAAAAAATCAGAAAGAAATAACAGCAATCTTTATAAACTCTAATATAGGAGGGAAAAAAAGAACCCTCTAGATGAGGTCAGCATAACCTTAATACCGAATATCAGAAGGGAAGCCACTCTTTTCCATGAACATAGTTGTGAAAATCTCCTCAAAATATGTTAGAAAATGGAATTCAGCAGTAGATACAAAGGAAAATAAATAATAATTAGTGGGGTTAATTTAATATTTGAAAATCAATATAATTTATTACATTAGCAGCAAAAAGGCAGTATAATCTTTAGATGACCTCAATAGATGTAGAAAAAGCCTTTGAAAAACTTAGCTCCTATTCATGTTACATAAAAGACTCTCATTAAGCTCTGAATAGAACTTCTTTTATTCTGATAAAGAACATCTACAATGCCATCTTTGTACTTAATGCTGAAATAATGAGACTTTCACTCCTTGAGATTGGGGGAAAGATATGGATGCTTGTTGTTACCAGTATTATTCAGTATTGTAATGGAAGCCATAGCTAGTGTAATGAGCCAAGAAAAAGAAATAAAAGTCATGCAGATTAGAAAGGAAGAGATAAAGTAGTCATTATTTGTTGATGACATGATAATATACATAGAAAATCCAAAATAATCAGCAGAATAATTAGGATTAATAAATGAATTAAGATTACTGTGTACAAGATCATATAAAAATGAATTGTATATTTGCATATACACAACAAAAATGAAACTTAATAATTGTATCATTTATACTAGTACCAAAACCCACCAAGTACCCAGAATAAATTTAACAAGAATTGTGCAAAATCCTTATACTGTATGCTATAAAATATTATGGAGAAAAGTTAAAGAAATTTGAATAAATTGAGTTATATACAGTGCTTATGGACCAGAAGACACCATGCTGTAAAAATGTCAGCCCTCTCCAAGCTAATATGTAGTTTCAACCCAGCCCCAATCCACATCCCAGTAGGTTTTTGGAAATTGACAGACTGATTCTAAAATTTGTGGAATTGCAAAATACCAGTAATGGCCAAGGTAAGCCATTGAGGAAATATAGGAGGATAGGAGGATATACATTACCAGATATCCAGACCTATTATGAAACCATGATAATTGACAGTGTGATATTGGTGCAAAGACAGGCCAACTGACTAGTGGAAGGATATGGAGTGTATAGAAACAGACCTACATGTACAGGGTCACTAGATTTGTTACAAAAGTAATACTGTGGTGCTGTAGAGAAGAGGTATGATCTTTTTGAAAAATAACAAATTATATTAAAATCACAAGCATGTATTAATGAAAGTATACCATTAAGTGAGTGAAAAGGCAAGGCACATAATACAAGAAAGTATTTTTAGAACATATATCTGATAAAGAACTTGTGTCTAGAATATGTAAAGAATTTTTAAAAATCAATAAGAAAAAGACAATTGAAAAACAGGGAAAAGAGTTGAATTTACCCTTCAAAAAGAGGGTATATACAGTATATTAACACCTATATATGGAATTTAGGAAGATGGTAATGATGACCCTATATTTGAGACAGCAAAAGAGACACAGATGTAAAGAACAGACTTTTGGACTCTGTGGGAGAAGGCAAGGGTGGGATGATTTGAGAGACTAACATTGAAACATGTATGTTACCATTTGTGAAGTAGATCGCCAGTCCAGTTTCGAGGCATGAGACAGGGTGCTCGGGCCGGTGCACTGGGATGACCCTGAGGGATGGGATGGGGAGAGAGATGGGAGGGGGGTTCAGGATGGGGACACATGTACACCCATGGCTGATTCATGTCAATGTATGGCAAAAACCTCTGCAATATTGTAAAGTAACTAGCCTCCAGTTAAAAAAAAATTTTTTTAAAAGAGGGGGAATAAAAGAGGGTATACAAATGTCTGATGAACATATGATTAGATGATCAACTTCATTAGTCATCTGAGAAATGCAAATTAAAACCACAGTAAGATACCACAGCAGACCTAACACTATGGCTAAGATGAAAAAAAATGGAAAATACAAAGTACTGATAAATATGTGGAGTAAACAGAACTGCTGCTGAGAATGTAGGTTAGTAGAACCACTTGGGACAATTCATACTGAATAAATTTATACTTTGTTACCTACCTATTTCATTGTTAGGAATAAGCCCAAATAAAGTCACCGAAAGACATAATAATGTTCACTGCAGCATTATTTGAGTAGCCCTACACTTATTTTAGTTGCTGAACTTCCCTGGTAGCTCAGCTGATAAAGAATCCACCTGCAATGCAGGAGACTCCCATTCAATTCCTAGGTCAGAAAGATCCCCTGTAGAAGGGATAGAAGCTATCTAAATGCCTATTGACAGTAAAATCGTGGTATGTACACATTATGGAGTGTTATTCAGTAATGACAATGCATATACTACAACTACCAATAACAAAATGAATGATTCTCACAATGATTATGTTAAGTGAAAGAAGTCAGATATAAGTGTACAGCCTGATTCCAGTTTTGTCAAGTACCACAGTATGAAAAAAGGTTGCTAGAAAGTTGTTATCTTTGGGCTGGGTGTGGACCTGATTGGACTGAGACATGAGGAAGGGCTTCTAAGATGTTAACAATGTTTTGCTTCTTGATCTGGGTACTGATTACATTTTTGTTCAGTTTGTAAAAACTTATTGAGTGGTATGCTTATGTGTATTCTTCTCTGTTATACTTCAGGAAGAGATATTTATAAAGATAATTTTTCTGTTTTAGTATCTTAGTCCTTGAATATGTCTTCTCATTGGCTCAGAATTACCCAGATGAGGTCCAAGACTACCCTAACTCATACCTAGTGTTTGGCTGCCTGCCTTTGCTTTTTAACTGACAGGGGGTCAGCAAATGCTGGAAGTTCAAGTTAGTTAAGCAGAGTAGGAAGGATTGGGAGAAGGGTAACAAATGGAAGAAGGGAGGAAAAAGGGAGAGTGAATGTATGTGACTATAGATATGATGGAAAACTAGTCCATTTATGGGTGTAAACTAAAGGAACCCATATTATCAGAAGTTTACAAAGACTGTCATGCGTAAGCGTTTCTCTTTAATTGAGATTTTTTTTTTTTTAAGGAAAGTTAATAGACTCCCTAGAAGTAACAGTTCACAGAATTTAAAATAAACATGATTTGAAATATTCTTATTTATTTAAAAATGAATAAGACTCCTCTGTAGCTTCAAGATGGTAATTTCTTAGAGCTCTTCTATTTTTTCTTTTCTGTACCAACAGTTAAAAAAATAATAATAATTTGCTTAGCATATTCTTTTAATTTCTAAGTGTGTCTATCCAGATTGAACATCAACTACTGAGAACCTAATTAATGAGGTTTTTCCATAAGCGGTGTTTTTATATTTCTTTTTTTTAAGGTGGTATGTTATTTTGCTATGATATTTCAATGTATCAGAGTAAAGATGGCAAACCGTTGCATCGACTGATGGCCAGTAGAGGGCGAAGTTTCAAGCAGACCTTACTTGCCCTAGTGCATGAGGTAGGTACCTCTCGGTTCTCTGAAACAGTGCTTCTTCTTGTATATGCTTTGGGGTTTCCCTCCTTGGGTTTATGGTGATGAAATTTAGCGTGTGTTTGGAAATAATTTTTCTATTCTTCATAATGAAAGTGGCTTTTAAAGACAACCAAAGTAGTTGATCCAGCTGTAGTATTTTGATGTACTTCTCAAAGAAACCAGCATGTTTCCCTTTGGGCTCAGCCTATTAGAGAGTAGTATCTAGGAAAGTATCTAGTTTGGATTATTTATCAATATTTAGTTGCCTCTGTTCAGAATAAATACCAATTTAATATTTCAAGAAATAATCTAACCTATTTCTTAATTGTAATCCTTTGGAAGTATGTAGGGACCACTATTTATATCTTGTGAGTATTGGAAATTAACAGTAAATAATTGTGTTGGAGGAGGGGAAACCCTTTGATTTTATTGTTTATTTACTTTTCTTTTATGCTACTCTTAAAATGAAGTTGTGTGGTGCCATTCATTAGGTGTTGCTTGAAATTTGATCATTACAGATTGTACAATACCAGAGAGGAGAAGGCAGTTGAAAAGCACTTGGGAAATCTGTGGGGTTTTTTTTAATTGTTTTTTTAAATTTTATGACTTCCCTGGTGGCTCAGATGGTAAAGTGTCTGCCTACAGTTCAGGAGACCAGGGTTCAATCCCTGGGTTGGGAAGATCTCCTGGAGAAGGAAATGGCAACTCACTCCAGTTTTCTTGCCTGGAAAATCCCATGGTCGGAGGAGCCTGGTAGACTACAGTCCATGGGGTAGCAAAGAGTAGGACACGACTGAGCCACTTCACTTTCATTTTTTCATGACAGTTACTCATTCAGGTGCATATAGGTTAAACTGTATGAATGAATAAAAAACAAAATATCACAGCAAAGAGGTTTATATCATATAATTTAGACATAAGTTATATAACAGGTATAAATGAAAATGTAGTAAAAATTTTTAAAGATTTGAGGTAATGATAGTGCTTCTACAATATGTTTACATTAAATCTTACTTTGATGCATAATTTATAAATATTGGGATCACTTCTTTGATTTGATAATATTCTGTGTCTTACCAGCTGCCACCAATTAGCATAGCCAGATTTTTGTTTGTTTGCCCATGCCATGTAGCATGCGGGATCTTCCTGCCCTGCAGTAGAAGCGTGGAGTCTGAACCTCTGGACCACGAGGGAGGTCCCAACATAGCCAGATTTTTAAAGACCCACCTATGCTACCCATTTTAGTTTTATATATTTGGTTAGAATTGAAATTATGTAAATCTTTGTTTAATGCAATGTCTTTAACCAACAAAGGAAGGAAGAACTGGGGAGAGTAGTGTTTCTCTGAGAAGAAGAGAGGTTTAATTTCATAAGCAAAGAAAAGCAATAGGTAATTTCTAGATTTGTTCTCCCTATTATCTTATTCGTTGTTATGGAGAAGAAAGAGATTTGGTACTTTTTTGTGCTTTAAAGCTGTGTACTTAACGTGGATAACCAACATGTTAACTATGAAGGGAAGCCTGAATTGAAAAGTCGCTATCATAACAGATGGAGAAGGGAATGGCTTCCCATTCCAGTATTCTTGCCTGGAAAATCCCATGGACAGAGGAGCCTGGTGGGCTACAGTCCTTGCAATCGCAAAGAGTCAAACACAGCTGAGTGACTAACACTTTCACTTTCATCATAACAGAAACAAGGATAAGTGTTAATGTAGGGGTGGCAGAAGATATCTGATAAATTAAGCAAATGGTATCAGAACTTGTGAGGTATACCTTAGATGTGAACAGAGAAAAAACTTGAGTTATGATACTTGTTGCTTGTATTATTGAATGCCTAGAAAACTTCAAAGAGATGAGAAAAGATCATAATTTTAGGGGTCACTTGGAAGATGCATTAGACAGAATTCTACCGAATCTGTGGCAGGATTTTGGGTTGGATTTATCTTCTGCTTACTGTAATTCATTTTTTAAAAAGGCAGAGAGAGAGAATGAGCCAAGCAGTTTCTCAGAGTATCTGGCAACAAATAATAAAAATTTTAAGAGCTAGTTAATGAGAATAACAATTGGAATAATAATACTCATAACTAGCTCAGGCACGTTAAAGTTTGCTGTGCATATGTTAATTCATTTAATCTCTATATTCACACTGTGAGGTTGGTACTGTTTATGTACTTGACACACAGAAATAGAAGAGCCTGGAAATTGAACCCAAAAAATATGATTTCACAGTTCTTGATTCTGTCTTATTTTTAACATCTGTCATCATAGTTTCAATTTGTTTATTAATTTACCCATAGATGCACATTTGGGTTGTTTCTCCTTTTTCCAGATTATGACTAAAGCTGCTATAAACATTACTATTCAGGTGTATATGTGGACATCTCTTTTAATTTCTCTTGAGTAAATAACTATATACAAGTGGAATCGCTAGGTCTTTTGGTGAGTGAGTATGAAAACCCACCTGTTTTTCCAGTGACTGCCCCACTTTGAATGCCCACCAGCAGCATGAGGAAGTTCTGGTTGCTCTCCCTTCTTGCCAGCACTCAATATGGTCAGTTCTTAAAATTTAGCAGTTCTCACAGTGGTTAGTGGTTTTCCTTTCGTGGTTTTTAATTTGTGTTTTTTTAATGACTACTGATGTTGAGCTTCTTTTCATGTATTTATTCATATTATGGAGTGTTGTGTTCTTTTGCCCGTTTTAAATCCAGGTTTTTGTTTTCAAATGAGAACTCTTTATATATTCTGGATATGTGGTTTTTTTTTTTTTTTAATTAGAAATGTGTCTTGCACATGTTTTTACCTACTCTCTAACTTGTCTTTTTATTTCCTTAATAGTGTCTTTTGAAGAGTGTCTCTTCAGTTTTGCAGAATTTATCAAGGTTTTCTTTTTATGGTTCTTGCTTTTTGTCTTATCCAAAGTCTCAAAAACTTGCTGTTTTCTTTTCCTATGTTATCTTTTTTAATTTTTAAAAAAAGAGGTATAATTTATAGACTGTAAAATTTACTCATTGGATGTGTGCAAGTCAATGGTTTTAGTATATACACAGAAATGTATAGCCATCACCACAGTCAATTTTAGAATATTTTCATTGCACTGTAAAGTAACTCTATACCCATTAGCAGTCACTCTCCATTTTCCTCACATCCCAGCCTTCATCAACCATGAGACCACGTTTTTAAAATTTTATATTAGAGTATAGCCAATTAACAATGTGATAGTTTTGGTGGACAGCAGAGGGACTCTGCCATGTATATACATGTATCCATTTCCCCCCAAAGCCCCGGCCCATCAAAGCTTCCACATAACACTGAGCAGAGTTCCCTGTGCTGTATAGTAGGTCCTTGTTGGTTATCCACTGTAAATACAACAGTGTGTACATGTCGATCCCAAAGTCTCCACATAAATTTTAATTCGGCTTTGAGAAACTATTTTATTTTTTTTTTGACTTGGAAATTGAATTTTATTTACAAATGTTCCCTTTTAAACACAGATGCCATTCCACCCCTTTTAAAGCATTATTAACTAATAATTTCCAGAAAAACCGTTTACATTGTCTTAATTTGTCTACATAAAACAGTATTATGGGGTAAACAAATATGGGATGGTCTAAGACATAAAAACAAAACAAAAGACAATTTATCCTCCTTGAATGCTCTAGTGATTGACAATGAATCACCAATCGCACCCCTTAATGTGCTACTCCAAGAAACGTGATAATTTGGGGAGGTAAATGCTTCACAATAAAGTCTTCCATCGTATGGTTTAATGGTGATTGTTTAGGATTGCTCTTGCAGGTTACTATTTATGCTGATTTTTAAAAATAAGTCATCATTGTTAAAAAGGGCAAAGATAAAAGAAAAATCTGTAGAGAAACTTTTAAAAACCTGCTATAATTTTGGTTACAAATGCTTTGAATTTGTATATCAGTCTGGGACAGAATGTATATCTTAATAATATCGAGTTTTTCAACCAGTACGCAAGGTATATTTCTCCATTATTTTAGGTCAGTGTTCTGTTGTTTTCTTACTACAAATCTTGCACCTATTTTGCTAAATTTAATAAGTACTGCACATCCCTAAGTACTTTTATGCTAGGGCAATTAGACTGTTTTTTGGTTTGTCTTTATTTCCAACTGTTCATTGCTAAAATATAAACATATAATTGATACTTTTTTATGGCCTTACTCTACCCACTTATATATTCTCGTAGCTTTTTTGTAGATTCTTTTTGACTTTCATTGCAATGTTGTCTATGAATAGAGATTGTCTTAGTGTTTTTCTTTCCAATCTGTCTGCCTTTGATTTCTTTTTCTTGCCTAATTGCACTGTCTAGGGCCCTTTGGTATGGTTGAATAGAAGTGGTGAGAGCAGACATTCTTATTTTGTTAACAAAATAGTCTTGGGGGAAAGCATTCAGGATGCTTAACATTACATATGATGTTATATTTACTGTTAGTATAGAGATTTTTATGGATATTCTGTATTAGGTTGATAAAGTTTCCTTTATTCCTAAATTGGTTTTTTTTTTAATCACAAATAGATGTTGAATTTTGTCAAATGTGTTTTTTCTACATTTGTTGAAATGTTTATATACTTTTTTCATTTTTTAGTAGGATGAATTATTTTGATTAATTTTTCTAATGTGAACCAAATCTGCATTCCTAGGATAAACTCCACTTGATTGTGGTATAATATCCGATTTATTGCTGAATTTGATTTGCTAGTAATACTTTGTTAGGGGGCTTCCCAGGTGATCCTAGTGGTATGCATCCTGCCAATGCATAAGACATATAAGAGTTTTGAGTTCAATCCCTGAGTCGGGAAGATCCCATGGCGGAGGACACTGCAACCCACTCTAGTATTTTTGCCTGGAGAATCCCATGGACAGAGGAGCCTGGTGGGCTATATAGTCCATAGGGTCACACAGAGTCGAACCCCCAACTGGAGCGACTTAGCACACACACTTTGTTAAGGATTTTTGCACCT